ACAACCCTGGAAAAATATTTCGTTGTATCCTACATTTTTCTTCTTATATTTATATTCTTTTCCCTTCATTTCAAGAACTACACAAGAATATTTCTCGGAAAATTGCTTTAAATTAACCGAAATAGAAAACCGAATATTTCATGTAAAAAGGAGTGTACTACACAGATAAAAATAATATAAATATTTCTATGTGTTTTTTAATAATAAAATATATGGGTTACATACTCTATTACTACGTCCAAAAATCGATGATAGATATTTTCTCATATGATAATAAAGAATCGATAGGGAAGTCATTATCAAAAAGATCCAATACCGTTTAATTCCTAATCACATAAATCTGATTAGAATTTAATCAATTGGATTATTCCCATTTTTAACGATAAATTCAATTATTGTTCATTTTTTACATTGTTTATAACAAATTAAAATTGGTAGAAATAATATTAAATTGTTATAAGTCATATAAGTCATTGACAAACAATATTTCATCAATATTGACCACTTTTTTCAAATTATTCTTATCATATAATAAGTAAAGTTAATTCTCAATTCTGTTCAACATTAAACACGTGTAGGTATGTTTACTGTAACACAAAAAAAATCTGACATACGTACGTACGCATATACGTACGTACATCCCTTTTTAAACCCTCTTAATGGTAGATTAAAGATTAGAAACAAAAAATCCCCAGTTAAAAATAAACTTGTAAGTAATCCAAACTTTACAGCACCACTTTTTTCAATACTTTTCAATCAAATTTGATGCTTAAAGTTTTCCAATGTTTGTCAGTAGCCATAAAAAGGGTAGACTTACACCAATATTATTTTTATTAACAAAGAATCATATCATAAGACTCAATCCTAGTTGGTTAGATAAGCCTCCTAAGAAGAAGACGAAGAAGAAGAAGGAGCATCAATAACTCAAGATAAAAAAGAAATAATATCTACCTCAGAACTAGTGGTACTATCAGCGCTGTCAGTCGTCGTAGCAGAGGATAGGGGTGACCGAGAGCTCCTTTGTACCCAGCGATCTCTGATGATGGCTACCCCTGTAACCACTGCTATTTTACTTGCGGTACTGTTGCTGGTAGCTTTATCGCCACCGCCACCGGCGCTTCCACCGCCGCATGCTCGCTCCAGAACATCCCCAAATACTTCCGACAACTTGTCCGGCACTTTGACGAGTGCGTCCAATATCACTGTTTATGTCCAAGTGCTCGTAAAAGTACTTTGAGTTTTTAGGGATAATTATTCTTCTAATTATTGCAATAGAATATAATGACTTTGATAAGTAGCTTACAAAGTACTTCAATTGCCTCTAAATACTTGACTTGTCAACTTATCAACGATATTTATAAGCGTATTAGTTTATTGGAAAAATATATATATATATGTACAAATACTTTTGGAAATATTGTTAGCAATTAAGTGTATGATTGTCGGGTTTCTTTCTTTTCTTTACTCTCTTTAATTCACTGGAAGTTTTATGTTATAATTTTTATTGATTTGATTATCACGACGTTGGTATGAATTTGAAAGAATAACTTTGAAAATAAGATGAATAAAACAAGTGTGTTTGATGTTTTGATTTTAGTTTGATGAATTTTTCAGAAGAATTATTTCTTCTTATTTGATTCTCCTCACTGGTTATTCTCATAAAAACTATACTTTTCTTTTATTTTAAAAATTTATAAATTAGGCACTAATTATTATTCTTATCTGTCTGCTGAATTGATCGTTGATTTATTGAATTGGATAATTCACTTGTTAAATCACTTCTCTATTCATTTCAACAACGTTATTCTTCGTTTTATTTCAATGACCTACGTGCGCTTTGTTTGGAGTTGGAATTTGATTGTTTTACAGATGAAATAAAATGCTTCAAGTCTTGGAAGACTAGAAGTGCGCTTTTATTCTATAGTGTTCTCGTCCGTTTTGACCCGACACATCAGCACGATTATCACACGACAGCCGGGAAGACCAGAAAACAGCGAATCGTGGAGCGAATGAAGAAGGGGGAAGGCTTTCGCGTGTTGCCAGTGAGTCGACGCAGAACTAGCGAGGGTGGTGGCTAGGTGGTGAGACAAGTTTTCTGTTTCAGGTGAGAGTGAGAGATCTATGCGTGCGTCGCAACAGGTTACACTCTCTCCAACTGCGTATGTTCCTGGGATTCATGTCAAGAACAACCACAGGTACCTTCTCTCTTTATCGACTGTTATCGACTCCTTGGCTATCTATTATATTCTTCAGATATTTTTTTTTTTTTCCTCTTCATGCTGACATTAAGTTGTTTAATTGTGCTGATATGAACTCGTGATGATGCAACGATGGAAAACAAAGTAGGGTAATTAAAGATATTGCGTATCTTTGATTTTATTATTGTTTCAGCCTCTTTATGCTCTACTTTAGTAAAATTAAGATGAGTTAATTTGTGATGAATATACATTGCAAAAAAAAAAAATTAACTATGGATAAGTAGTATTTTCTTTTACTGATAAAATTAAAATTTTGAATAGTCGCAATAATAATCATTTTTGGAATTAACATGATGATATTTTTATAGATTCAGTTCTGATGTATGGAGAAAACTTTATAGTAATTTTTAGTAATCAATTTACAGTAAAATTTACTAGCAAAAAAAAAAATTAAAAATTACTAGGTTGTTTTTTGTAAAAATAACTGAAAAATTCTAGTTGGTAAAAATGACCAAAATAAAAAATTTTTACTAAAAAAAAATCAATACAAAAATTTTTCTATATAGTTATTGATTTTTATTTTTTTGTCTATGAAAATAATTATTTAATGAATTTTATTATTAATTTACTAACAATAAGAATTGTAGGGGAGTTAACTCACTTCCGAATCCTAAACAAATAAGAAATTCTTTATTGTTATTAAGATTCATCAATCATAGATAGCATTAAAAAATTGATGAATGTCTGAACAAAATTGGATGATTCTACTTAATGTCAGAATGAATTTTATTTTTTTTTTTATTCCATGGTAATATATTCAATAAACTACTATTTAACTTTCAAACAAACTCATCATCTACTTTCAACTTAATTGAAATTCATTGAAAATTTTTTAAGTAGAATAACCAAGCTTCGGTCAGACGCATTATGATTTTCAATAAATTTGTTATTGTTTGTTAAAGTTTAAATGTTCCACTTCTTTTTAATAATTTGAAATATTTGTTTTATTTATAATAAAAAAATATTTCTTCATTTATTGATGAAAAGAAGAACTTGATACAGACTATTATTCTGTAATTTTAATAGAAATTCATGAAAAAATATTAAAAGGAAAGAGAAAAAGCTATTTCATAATTGTTCAGCATGTATAAACATATTTCTAGATAATCGGATTAAATTCTTATTATGACTCCAACCTTTCTGTTGTTGTTATTACAGACAATAGTATACACATGAAGATGAGATATGAAATTAAAAAAAAAAAAAAATAATGCAAAAATAATTCTTTTAAATATATACAAAACGTCATGTAATAATGTCATGATATATTATCCATTATCGTTGAAATCATTTTTTTTCTTCAGGATTTAAAGATATTAAAATTTTTTTCAGACATAAAACTATTTTTTCATTCTTCCCTCTTTTATATCTACGTCTTACATAAACTCTCTAAATGCCATAACATCTTTAGAAATAAAAAATAAAAGCCTTGAAGGGTAAAAAACAAGAATAAATGATTGAAGACTATTTTCAAAAATACAAAAAAAAAAAATCTCTTTTATCTTTTTCTCTTAAAATTCGTTAAATAAAAGATGTCTATGGTTTCATAAATATTTAATAATAAATCAAAAATAATAAAACAAAAAGTAAGAATTTAACAATACTTTTAAAAAAAAAAAAAAAAAGTTTAAAATGTAATAAAAGAAGAATGTGCTTTTCTGTGGTCTTTTAGTTGTTACTCAACGATAAACAAGTGCAAAAGTAATATTGAAGAAGTAGTGTAAAGTGATGTGATGTCAGACATAAAGTATGTTGGTCGACATTGCTCAAACACTAAGTGATGTATCAATTTCGAACACAATTGAGTTATTATGTGTCATATCGTATGTAATATTTATTACATAGGAACAAAATGTATTCTCATGTAAATATGTTCATATAATTTCATCTTGCAAGCAGTGATATTATCCTTTACATTCTTTAATCTTGTTACTCTTTGGCAGCAGGTACTCTTGAAAGCCTTAATAGCTATCGCTTATTGTAGAGTGCTGTATTGATCCTGATACCAGATTCTATATTCCCTCGCGGCGACACGGGAACACACCTCTCGTCCTCCCTATCTTTCTCACTCCCTTCACCCTCCCACCTCTAAACCTTTCCCTTTTACCTTCCCTTGTCCTCTCCGCCGTTCCGCTTTCGATTCTTTACTTTCTTTTCCCATAATCCACCCTTTATCCTCCTTTACCACATGACCATTTCTTCGCACTTCATATATGTTATACCAATGAACACATAAAAATTCAACCCCCCTTCAATGAACATAAAAAAACCTTTATTCAATGTAACATCTTTCAGTCAAATTTTTATTCAATTTTATTTCTCAAAATATTCCACCTGTGTCCCTATTCAATACGCCAATCACGTTAGTCTAGTCTCGAAAATTTAAAATTATTCTGGGATAAATATTTTATTTTGACCTTCGTACTCAATTATTGGACCTTAAGTTAGCATAACTATTATCAATAGTTTCCATTTCGATAGATATAATTATATACCAGTAATTAATTAAATAAACAATTAGCCAAAGAATATGAATATCTAATCTTACCTAATATATCTCTAGTTCATACAGTAGTTAACAACTACCATTATAACTTTCTTGGAAAAAAAATTGAAACTACTTTATCGACTGTCTAGTAATGTCAGTATTTATTTTACCGATGGAGGAGTACGAAAGTGGTATGATCAGATGGTTGCTGTTATCATTCTAAGGTTATTTTTTATTTTATTCTGATAACATACCTGTGGTTGGATGGTGTAGTAGTTGGGTTTGGTTTTTTTCCAACAGTCGAGAACAGTAGAGGCAACTGGTGGGCTGTGTGAATGATGATGACTCCGACTGATATTATAGTACTCCTTGGATGAGGCTTTCAATGGTGGATCAGGCCAACGGTCGAGAGTATTCCAATACTTGTCAAGATATTTAGCAGTATAGTAGCGGTATACAACAATTGTAACCGCTACAACTAAAGCTAGCCCTGTACCTGCTGCTGCACCAAGTACAGCGGCAGAAACCATTTCCCCCGTTTTAAATGGATTTTGTAACACCGAACCGATGTGATGTCCTGCAAACAAAGGTAATCAATGATCGATTAATATTAATGAAGATATTTAAATATTAATATGTGATTTATTATTAAGATTTATTTATATATTTATTATTTCTAGAAACTGACCTTTCATCAATGATGAAGATAAGGTTCATGAATTTTTTATATGCATGTCATAACATCATTATTTCTGGTTGATTTATATTCACACAATTGGAAACAACAGTCGAAAAAGAAGTAAAAAGAGAAACAGTACAGAAGAAAGATGATCAATAATACTTAGAGCTTGGTCTCTCAGGGTAACTTTTGATATGGAAAAAAAAAAAGATGAGTGTAGCTCAAGACCTTATAGAGAAGACGTATTCAATACCACTCTGAGTGTGATTCTATTTCCCTAGAGGCAAAACTATTTTACGTGAGTTATGTCAAGTAAAATTACTTGCTTTGATGTTCATACTTTTATACTATTCGACTACTCATATTTATAGATATCATTACCCCTCGAAGGAAGTTAGATAAAGAAAAGGAGGATAATTGCTGTTTTGGTTTAATACTGGTGATGGCAAGGGTTAATTGCTTTGCAATTAACTAAGTTGAGTCGGAAATGTTATTTATGGTTTATCATTTTTAGAGGTATAATAAGTAGTTTGACATATTGATGTTTTTTTTTTTTTAATTTCAAACAATACTAAATAATAATTGATAAACTTAAAATGTTGGAATTAATATCATTAATGTACTGGTCATTTATATTTTACCTCATTTAAGTTTAGACTTACTGAAACTATATTTATTTAATTATTTTCAATCGCTCTGAATGAATTATAGATAAAATGTCTGAAATAATAACAGAATTTTTTTCTAATTTTTGTGCAAACTCGGAATGCACAAATGCTACAAGTTTTAATGGAAAGCATAAGATAAATTGGATTTGATTAGCAGAATTAATCTTGTAAAACTAACTGAACATCTCGAATTTCAAACGAAGCTCTTTTTATTTGCATAATACAACTCCAAGATATTTACTTACCCTAATTCATTGATGGCTGTAATTTATTGTCACTGTTTTATAAATCCAGGTACTTATACATGTATTTTGATCATCAATTGATTTACATTCTATCGTTTTCAATTTAAATGAGCATACTAAAGTATATCAAAGACACTCCATTTAAAGATTTCTTTTTCAAGGGTTCAGAGGCAAAGTCCTTGACATAGACAGGTCTTATGATATTTTTTTTATCAAAAATCCAAGAAAGCAGTGATACTATCAGCTTTTTGACGCTTGCCATTTTTATCAATGTTCATCAAGATATAATAAGTAATTTTATTACCAACACTTGGATAAAAGTGATGAGAATTATATAATAAGTCAATGTGATAGAAGAAAAATTGCTAGGAAAATAATGGTGATGCTAATTATTCAACTTTAAATCGATATAAATTAATATAATTGTATTCAAACTGATGTTATTGTATTTTTCTGCGACAGAAAGCAAAAACAAGATTTATTTGTGATCCATTTAATGGGTAAAAAGTGTTAGAAATAAGTAGTTAGTCACTTGAAAAAGCTGTTTTCAAAAGCTATTTAAACTTTAGACATAACATGTGATAATATTTAATCAGTTAAAGTGTTCCTTTCTTGACACAAAAGAAGATTCAAGCAAACTAACTATTAAATTCTGTAATTTATTGAAGAAATTTATTCTCATTTGCGCTATCAAACAAAAACAATTATTGATTTTTTTTTCTTCAATGTAGATATATTTTAACATACTTTTTTTTTAATTTCTCTGCTTGATGATTTAGGGGAACAATAAGATTAAATACACTACAATAAATGGAAAAACGAGGTGCTTCACGTAAGAAGGAGTGGGTATTTAGAGGTAAAACAGACGTTTCTGTTTTTAGAGAAAATTAGTGAAATCGAATTACCTCAGTGGGAGATAAATCCATGTGTAACGAAATGGAAAATCTCTTGGATTGGAGAAAAACAAGTGAATGTATGTCTGTATAAAAAAAAAAGTGTAATAAAAATTCATAGAAGGGAAAATATTGAATGGAAATTTACGGCAAATTGTATATAAAATGCATTACAAAAATGGCATATATTCACCTCACTTGCTTTGATACGACCATGGAGATTAAATAATAATTTGTAACAAAAGAGCAACAAGAAAATATAAACCTGCATCTGATAAGACTGTCTTGTCAAAGCAATCATGTAAATGACATATTTTATACACTTAAATAATTTTAAGAATTTATTGGACTTGACATTGAAAATGTAACTGTCTGTTCTGGTTATCATTTAGATTTGAAAGTGAATAGAAATATATAAATGTAGATATTGAAACAAAATTAAAATAATGGTAAAATTACTCTAGACAATATCACAAGTTATATAAAACAACTTCTGGAGGTCTTAAGTTTCTTTAATGAAAATCCAAACCATTTATGAATCCAAGTTAATTATTAAATAAATAAATATCCATTTAATAATCAAATATTATTTACTTACACTTTGAATGTTACAATATATTTTTGTCAACAAAGAAAAAGATGTATTTGATTTTCAAATTGAAAACATGAAGTCTAGCTAATTTTATCTATTTTCTTTTAGATTGAAGTTAAATGTAATGGGTTCAAAGTACAGACTTTATCAATTGAATGTTCTTTTCATAATTCTCTTTGAGAAGCTTCAAGTAATCTCAACTCTCCTCTTACGAGTAGTACACCTAGTTATTGAAGTAAGACGTTTTCATTTACAAATGAGAAAAATGTTTCCACAATTTTATTATGACCAAAAAAACAAGGAAAAAAATTATCTTTCATTAAAATTAGAGTTATTAATAATTAATTATAAACATGACATATTAACTATCAGTGTTTATAATTATTATAATAATTTTTTACTAAATAAAATATTTTTTATTCTGTGAGATTTTTTTTTGCAGGGTATCTTGGTCTTTGTATAGAGAGAATAAATTATATAAAGAAGATAATGATTCAAAATGACGTAATGAAAACTCCTAGATATTTATATTCTTACTCCAATCATCAGTTCAGATTGATTTCAAAAATATCTCGTCAGAAATGTCTTCAGCTTGATTCAAGTATCTCATTAGCAATAATAAAGCAGTTAATTGATCTTTCATTAAATATATCTAATGTAAAAATAATAATTTTCAGTGTAATTAAGTAACTTGTTCAATAAATTGCACTTTCTAGGACGAAAGATTAATTATCTGGAAGAGTATTAATGAAGTTTATATATCATGTAAGTATTATATAGAACTCATTAGTATTCATAAACTACACAGATCAATATTTCAGCTTATTAATTGATGTATTTCAAATACTGAAAAATATATCATGATAGAAAAAAAACCATTGTTTTATTGAATGCACAATTCTGAATTGAACATACCATCATTTTCACTGGTACGAACAAAAAAGTACTAATGAATGATTGGTTTTTATCAGAAATTGGTACTGTCAATCAATGGTATGAAGAAATAAGAGTGGAAAAAAGAGAAATTTGATAAAATATTTAATGAAAGTGACTGTGTAAAACTATCAATAGTTTTATGAATATAAAAATGAAGAGTGATGATTGGCTAAGTCTTTAAGAAGCTTAAACTACCAGAAGAAAAAGCACAAAAAACAGTTAAATTCATCCAGCTAATGATTTTAGATGGTTTCATTAGAATTAGATCCTAATGAGCAGAAAGATTGCAGTAATAACAGTTTCTGGAAACAGTTGGCAGGTACAAGCTATCACACAAGTTCCATGAAAATTTGAGAGTAATAAAAAAAGTACCACAATTATTGAGGTAAGTTATTTTTATAAAATAAATCAGTGGATCCTTATTGTATTTTAGTGTTATATCAAGCTCAGTACGAAAATTTAATAAGAAGACATTGATTCATTTTAAATAGGCATAAAAATCCAATGCTAGGGTTGAACTGAACATTAATCTGTTTCCAGATGTGCAGTTTTGTTTCAATTAGTTTTGAAAAACTGGAAAATTACAATCATCCTGGTGTACAGTTCCTGTTCAACCTTTTTAATTGGCTGGTACATACAATTGTGAAAGTTTTCATTATCAAATTTCCACTGATTCTACAGCTTTCCATTACAATTGTAAAGAATGAATTTCCACTGGGAAATAACGCATTCCCACTGCTTCATTTAAAGGAAGTATGATAAAAACATCTGAGTACAGTTTTAAACCTTGAAAAGGACAACTGATGAAAGGTACATGATCAATTATACATATTGATTTGGTTTCTTATTTGATGAAAGTTAAAACAACAAATATTTCACATAATAGAATAGACTTACATAAAAATCAAAGAATATATTTTTCCTTAATAGTTCACTTTTTCCAATACTTCTATATATCCATTTATGATCCCATTAAATTGTATGTTTATCCATTTTGTAATATGATTCTGTTCATAATTATAACTTCGACCTCATCACGCAAGATATATCAATAAATGAGTAATGAAAAATCTAATCACAATAAAAATATAAAAACGCATTATTTTGACTACTTTTATATTAAACTTTAATATTTATAGGTAACAATTATTTTAAATGATCATTTTTTGTTTGCATCATTATATTTTCACGCCCTAAATAAGCACAGTAATTTTATCTAATTTAAAAGCCAAGCTTAAGCGTTACAGAACTAAATTAAAAAAATTATTAAGTTATTCTGCATGAAAATAACGTTTATGCTTTCATTATATGCTGTAGAGTACTTTCATGAGTTTCTTTTGCATTTTGTATGTTTATAAATCTTATGCAATCTACTCTTACATTATTATCACTTTCTTCCTAAGTGATGAGTCACAACACTGTGAAGTTAAAAATATGGTTTTAACTTAACACTCTTCGGTAGTAAATGTGTAGATATATTCATTCAGCAATTTCTTTTATTTACCTTTAGAATTACTGTGTTTATGAGGTCTGATATTTGAACCTATTAATTAATTTTCCTTCC